AAATACATAAATAAATGGAACAACAAATCAAGGTGTCCTCTCTCTCTCTCTCTCTCAAATGAATAAATAACATTAAAAAACACTGAACAGCCTCAAAATGTGACAAATGTTCTCTAGGATGACATAAAAATCACCATGGTGCATTAGAAGCATAATAGAGCACAGTTTCTTTTTCAACATTGTATCAGGAGAACAACAACAACAAAAAGACAGCCAGTGCAATGAGTTTCATCAAGCACAATGTAATTTTGCTACTTCTAAGAATTTCTTGGAGCATTAAAGCTAATTTTCTTATATTGGAGTTATGTGTGGTAGCACAAAGAAGGCTATTTATTTCTTCCTAGGCTTAAAAGAGTTATGGGCAACTGACACTGTTTGGGGAGCAAGGTAACAATTGTACCTTCATTGTCCAGACAACCAGAACCCTAGTAAGACTAGGAATTTCAGAAATAACTATGAGTGTGTGTGTGTGTGTGTGTGTGTGTGTGTAATCTCATAAATACACATTATAAATTATAATATAATATAAAATATATATTGTAATCTTATAAATATATTATATTATATATATACACACACAATGTAAGATGACATATTTTAAACAAAAAAATGAAATTATTTTTATGTATTATAACTTATCTTCTATTTCACCTATTCTTTTTATTTCTTTTCCTATGTTTCCACATGTTAGGCAATTTATTAGTCACTAATAACAGTTCTAAGATGTTCTAGAAGGAAATTATTTTATATTATATTGCACTAACTATCCAAAAGTCAAGAGCAATGCAATCATTGCCTTTCCCTTCCCTTTCATTAGCTCTTTGTCCTTATTTTCCTCAAGTCAAGGAAAACAAAGAAACACTAAGTTAGGTATGTTAAACATATATTTTTATTCCAATTATTTTCCTGTAGCAGGCTTATGCCTCTACTCATTTCTAGGATATGCACAGTTGATATTTAAGCTACAATCCATAGAAGTTTTAATTATCACTTGTATTCTACAAACTTCCAACTCTTAATAAATGAGTGCATAATTTTTAAGGAAAGTAGAGACTTTTCCCCCCAAAATTACTTCATAGCCCTGTAAAATAGTCATGGGCAGTTATTTTATTTTTATGAAAATAGAGGTATATTATATATAATTGTAATGGGGTGCAACCAGGAGCCCCCAAAGAGGGGTTTGTAATGGGGTCCATAATTTGGGGTGTCCAGGAAATATAAAAAAAAATATAGGATATCCCCACCTCCACAAGTCTGGACTGGGGGATGGGACACATGGAACAGGGCCATTGAGAGTTATTTTCCATATCAAGAGTTGGAAAGCTTCACACCTGATATGCAAAAATGGTTATTTTAGATATCTAGAACAGCTGGCTAGCTTCATGGATATGTTAAGGAGTTGTAGCCATGCTTTGAGCCGGGGAGATGGGAACAACTTCAATCCATGATGTAACTGGAATGCAGCTCTCCCTGGTTATAGTGCCTGCCTGAGAGCTTGGAGATAGCTTGCTCCACACCATGGGGCCATGCCTGCCTGGACTAACTATGGCAGCCAAGAAAGGCTGGAAAAATACAGGAATGCTAGCAGGTGTAGCTGATTGTTGGAGGAGTCAGAAATGGGGTTTCAAAGGAAGACTCGCACCAGGATTTAAACCCAGATGCAGCATCCATGCACGTTAAAACCACATGGTTTTGGGGTTCCCTTTACCACTGGCTTAGGGAGCAAGAGAGCAAGATGTAGCAGACCTGCAGAGCTCCCTCATAGTGGTTCAGAAGTGTTGGGAACTTCCCTGCCTTGTTTCAGAAGCTGTAATCCCCCATAGCTAAGGCCAAATTAAAAGACCTTGGGACCATAAGACACTAAGGAGACAAAACTTATCTTTCTGGCAGGAGCACATCCTCTGCCTCCTTTGCTACACCCTGCTTGGATCCTAGAGGATGGCTGGATAGTCAATGATGGGTAAGACTCCTTAAGGGAGGAACAGCCTAAGACAGGCACAGTCTCAAAGGGGCCATCAGGGAAGGACTTAGGGGACTATAGAAAAGGGGTGATGGACCTTCACCCCTTGGTTTTGTTATAGCCTGAGTCCTCATTCTATCTGTAAGAAGTCTCCTAGTCTCTTGGCTGCCTTACTTCCACTGTCTGACTTAAGCCTAAAACAATGCCGGAGGTGGGAGTGGGCATGGCCCTGTGCTGGAATCGGCAGTTCCCTGGGGTGGGGGGGGGGGAGGGGGAGGGGATCAGGCCTAAGAAAGAATGCATAAGATTCTGTGAAACTTGCTTTGCTAAGAATGCCCTCAATTTAAATGTTAAGGGTTTAAGCATGAAATGAGCTTGTTTCCCAAAGTTTTATAGCCCTTTGGCGTCACTCCATCTATCTGACCCTGACTCAGAAAAAACTCTTATAGTTCTTTGAATGTTATCTATTCCTTGATCATAACTGCCTGACAATGATTGATGACCTTTACATATACACCCCATATTCATATGCAAACTAAAAGCCCATTGAGAGAGAGGCTCCATGCCTTTCTCTCTGACAGACAGGTCAGCCTTTCCTCCCCAAGAAGATCATGTCTTCGTAGACTTATTCTCATCCACAGCAGCTGGGGGAGCTTTGTGAGCAAAGATCCCCACCCCCCCCATGGAAGAACTCAGGAGAGACATTTCAGGACTAGGGATGGGTATGATGCAAGACCTTGCATGGAAGGAAAGGAGCAAGAGGACTCACTGGTGGGCCATAAGAAGGTGACAGACTTCTGGCCAAGATGGAGGCATAGGTAGACACACTGTGCCTCATCACACAATCAAAATATGGACAGCAACAATTTAGAAACAAAATAACAATCAGAACTGACAGAAAATTAAACTGTATGGAAATCTGACAACCAAGGAGTTAAAATAGACACATTCATCCAGACAGGTAGGGGAGGCGGAGTTGGGCAGCTGGGCGGAGAGGGGTTTCGACAAAAAAGGTGTGGCACCGGGTGCACAAGGGAGCAGTTGACAACCCCGGGCATGCAAGATAGCAGCGGGCAAACCTGGGACTTGGGGTGGCAATGGGCAGACCCAGCAACGTGGAGATTGTGAAGCGGGGCATGGTGTGCAAGGTGGCTGGCTGACCAGGCGGTCCCACATTCACGTGCAGATAAACCAGGCGAAACTGGGGAGCCAGACAGACCACATACCCCAGGTCCCAGGGTGGGAAAACAAAGCCTCAAAAACACCAATTGAAAACACCTGTAGGGGTTGAGGTGCCAGGAGAGACTCCCAACCTCACAGGAGAGTTTGTTGGAGAGACCCATGGAGTCCTAGAATGTACATAAGCCCACCCACACCAAAATCAGCACCAGAAGGTCCCAGTTTGCTTGGGGGAAGCGGCAGAAGGGACTGAAATCTGACAGAGAGAGGAGCAAGTGCCATTGTTCCCTCTCAGACCCTGCCCCCACATATAGTGTCACAACCCAGCCATGTGGATTGACCTGCCCTGGTGAATACCTAAGGCTCTGCCCCACATATGTAACGGGTATGACAAGACAAAAAAAAAATGGCCCAAATGGAAGAACAGCTTAAAGCTCCAGAATAAGTACAACTGAGCGATGAAGAGCTAGCTGACCTATCAGATGCACAGTTCAAAGCACTAGTCAGGGTGAGATCAGGATGCTCCCAGAAGTGGTTGAATTTGATGGCAAATTAGATGAAAAAAAAATGAAGGCTATGCTAAGTGAAATAAAGGAAAATGCACAGGGAACCAATAGTGATGAGAAGAAAATTGGAACTGAAATCAATGGAGTGGACCAGAAGGAAGAAAGAAACAACCAAACAGAAAAGAATGAAGAAACAAGAATTCAAAGAAATGAGGAGAGGCTTAGGAACCTCCAGGACATCATTAAATGTTCCAACATCCAAATTATAGGGGTACCAGAAGGAAAAGAGGAAGAGCAACAAGTGGAAAACTTATTTGAACAAATAATAAAAGAAAACCTCCCTTATCTGGCAAAGGAAATAGATTTTCAGGAAGTCCAGGAAGCTCAGAGAGTCCCAAAGAAGTTGGACCCAAGGAGGAACACACCAAGGCACATCATAATTACATTACCCAAGATTAAAATGAAGGAAAGAATCCTAGAAGCAGCAAGAGATAAGGAGACAGTAACCTACAAAGGAGTTCCCATCAGACTGTCAGATGATTTCTCAGAAGAGACCTTACAGGCAAGAAGGGGCTGGAAAGAAGTATTCTAAGGCATGAAAGGCAAGGATGTACATCCCAGATTACTCTATCCAGCAAAGCTTTCATTTGGAACAGAAGGGCAGATAAAGTGCTTCCCAGATAAAGTCAAGTTAAAGGAGTTCATCATCACCAAGCCCTTATTTTATGAAATGTTAAAGAGACTTATCTAAGGAAAAGAAGATAAAAACATGTATAGTAAAATGACAGCACACACAATTATTAACAACCACACCTAAAACAGAAACAAACTAAGCAATCAACTAGAACAGGAACAGGAACACAGGAATGGAGATCAGATGGAGGGTTATCAAAAGAGGAGTTGAAGGAGGAGAGAGGGGAAAAAAAAGGTACAGAGAATAAGTAGCATAGATTGTAGGTAGAAAATAGACAGGGGGAAGGCAAGAATAGTGTGGGAAATGTAGGAGCTTAAGAACCTCTGACACCTGGACATGAGCTAAAGGGGGATGGGAATGTGGTTGGGAGAGGGTGTGCAAGGTGGAGGGGAATGAAGGGGGGAAAATGGGACAACTGTAATAGCATAATCAATAATATATATATTTTTTTAAAGGCCCCAGTGGGTTTGGATTAAGAATTGGCGATCCCAGTGACACAGTTCATGGTGCTGGGAACTGCAAGAAGCCTGCCATCCTAGTGCAGATTATTAGGAAGAATGCGGAGCTAGCTGAGCCACATACTTCTATTTTTTCCTGAGATATGGTACAAAGTTTGGGCTCTTGCAGTTTCTATGAATTTTTCAAGAAATTCATGAGGTCAGTGCTTGCTTCGGCAGCACATATACTAAAATTGGAAAAATACAGAGATTAGCATGGCCCCTGACCAAGGATGACATGCAAATTCGTGAAGCGTTCCATATTTTTCTAAAAGAATATACCTCCACCAAACCAGCTCTGTAAGAGATTCTAAAGGGACTGCTTTAAGGAAGGGAAGGAAAAGAGAGAGAGAGAGAGAGGAACACACGTACATACAAGACAATGAATAAGTACCTATCAATAATAACCTTAAACGTAAATGTATTAAATGCTCCAATCAAAAGACATAGAATAGCTGAATGGATAAGAAAAAATGACCCACATATATGCTGCCTACAAGAGACCCACCTCAGGAAAAAAGACCTGCACAGGCTGAAAGTGAAGGGCTGGAAACAAATCTTCCAAGCAAATGGACAGGAAAAAAAAGCCAGAGTAGCAATACTCATATCAGACAAAATAGACTTCCAGAAATGGTCCATAAAGAGAGACCCAGAAGGTCACTTCATAATACTCAAGGGAAGAATCTACCAAGAAGACAGAAATATTGTAAATATATATGCACCCAACATGGGAGCACCGAAATACATAAAGAAAGTCTTAGAGGACTTCAAGAAAGATATGGACAGCTACACAATTATAGTGGGAGATTTTAACACCCCGCTATCAAAAATGGACAGATCTTCCAAACAAAATATCAACAAAGGTATTGTGGCATTGAACAATACCCTTGATGAAATGGACTTTCCTTATATACACAGAGCCCTCCATCCAAAAGAAGCTAAATACACATTCTTTTCAAATGTACACGGAACATTTTCTTTTCTTTTTTTTTTAAGATTTTATTTATTTATTTCTGGAGAGGGAAGGGAGGGAGAAAGAGAGAGAGAGAGAGAAACATCAATGTGCGGTTGCTGGGGGTCATGGCCTGCAACCCAGACATGTACCCTGACTGGGAATCGAACCTGCGACACTTTGGTTCACAGCCCACACTCAATCCACTGAGCTACGCCAGCCAGGGTACATTTTCAAAGATTGACCACATGATAGGACACAAAACAAGCCTCAACAATTTCAAGAAAATTGAAATCATACCAAGCATTTTCTCGAACCACAAGGGACTGAAGCTAGAAACCAACCCCAAGGAAAAAAACCCAAAGCACTCAAAATCATGGAGATCAAATAGCATGCTATTAAACAATGAATGGGTCAAGAATGATATTAGGGAAGAAATCAAAAGGTTTCTGGAAACAAATGAAAATGAACTCACAACAACCCAAAACTTATGGGACACAGCCAAGGCAGTCCTGAGAGGGAAGTTCATAGTGATACAGGCCCACCTAAAAAGGTTAGAAACATTCCAAACAAACAACCTAACCCTATGTCTACAAGAACTTGAGGAACAACAACAAAGACAGCCCAGAGCAAGCAGAAGGAAGGGAATAAGCAAGATCAGAGCAGAATTAAATGACATAGAGACTAAAAGCACAATTCTAAGGATCAATGAATCCAAGAGCTGGTTCTTTGAAAATATAAACAAAATTGACAAGCCTTTAAGCAGGCTCATCAAGAAAAAAAGAGAGAAGATCCAAATAAACACAATCAGAAATGAAAGAGGAGAGATTACAACTGATACCACAGAAATACAAAAGATTGTAAGAAATTACTACAAAGAGCTGTATGCCAACAAATTTGAAAACCTAGATGAAATGGATAACTTTCTAGAAAAATATAATCTTCCAAAACTCAATGAAAAAGAAGCAGAAAGCCTGAACAGACCAATAACAACAAAAAGAAATTGAAGCAGTAATCAAAAAACTCCCAATACACAAAAGCCCTGGACCAGATGGTTTCACAGGAGAATTCTACAAAGCATTTAAGGAAGAGCTAACCCCTATCCTTCACAGACTATTCCAAAAAATACAAAAAGATGGGAGACTCCTAAACTCTTTTTATGAGGCCAACATCATCCTAATTCCAAAACCAAATAAAGACACAAGAAAGAAAGAAAACTTCAGGCCAATATCACTGATGAACATTGACACTAAAATCCTCAACAAAATACTGGCAAACCGCATCCAACAATACATTAAAAAGATGATACACCATGAGTAGTGGGATTCATTCCAGGGATGCAAGGATGGTACAATATTCTAAAATCAGTAAATGTAATACATCACGTAAACAAAAGCAAAGACAGAAACCACATGATCATATCAATTGATGCAGAAAAAGCATTTGATAAGGTACAGCACCCATTCATGATAAAAACACTCGGCAAAGTGGGAATAGAGGGAGCATTCCTCAACATAATAAAGGCCATGTATGAGAGACCTACAGCCAATATCATACTCAATAGGCAAAAATTGAAATCTTTTCCACTAAGATCAGAAACAAGACAAGGCTGTCCACTTTCACCACTTCTATTCAATATAGTACTGGAAGTTTTAGCCACAATGATCAGACAAGGAAAAAGAAATAAAAGACATCCAAATTGGAAAGGAGGAAACAAAACTGTCACTGTTTGCAGATGGCATGATAGTGTACATAGAAAATCCTATAGACTCCACCAAAAAACTGCTTGACCTAATAAATGAATTTGCTAAAACAGCGGGATACAAAGTCAATATCCAGAAATCAAAGGCATTTCTGTACACCAACAATGAAACTGCAGAAACAGAGATCAAGGAAAAAATTCCATTTGAAATAGCAAAAAGAAAAATAAAATACCTAGGAATAAACCTAACCAAAGAGGTCAAAGACCTGTATTCAGAAAACTACATAACACTGAGGAGAGAAATCAAGGAAGACAAACAAATGGAAACATATACCGCATTCATGGATTGGAAGAATGAATATCATCAAAATGTCCATACTACCCAAAGCAATTTACACATTCAATGCAATTCCTATTAAAGTACCAATGGCATATTTCACAGACATAAAACAAACACTTCAAAAATTTACATGAAATCATAAACGACCCTGAATAGCTGTTGCAATTTTGAGAAAGAAGAGTAAAGTAGGAGGGATCACAATACCTGACACTAAACTATACTACAAGGCCACTGTAATCAAAACAGCCTGGTACTGGCATAAAAACAGGCACATAGACCAGTGGAAGAGAACAAAGAGCCCAGAAATAAACCCAAGTCTCTATGGTCAATTAATATTTGACAAAGGAGGCAGCAACATAAAATGGAGTAAAAATAGCCTCTTCAACAAATGGTGTTGGGAGAACTGGACAGCCACGTGCAAAAAAATGAAACTTGAGCACCAACTTACACCATATACAAAAATAAATTCAAGGTGAATAAAAGACTTAAATATACAACATGACACCATTAAAGTCCTAGAGGAGAACATAGGTAGGAAAATCTCAGATATTTCACGCAGAAACTTTTTTACTAACTTGTCCCCTAGGCAAGGGACATAAAGGAAAGAATAAGCAAATGGGACCTCATCAAAATTAAAAGCTCTGCACAGCTAAAGAAAACAGTATCAAAATTAAAAGAGAACCAACTGTATGGAAAAACATATTTGCCAATGATACCTCAGACAAGGGTTTAATCTCCAAAATACATAAAGAACTTACACTACTCCACTCTAAGAAGACAAGGAATCTAATTAAAAAATGGGCAAAGGACTTGAACAGACACTTCTCCTAGGAGGACATACAGAAAATCCAAAGGCACATGAAATGATGTTCAATATCGCTAGCTATTAGAGAGATGCAAATGAAAACCACAATGAGATACCACTTCACACCAGTCAGAATGGCCATCATAAACAAAGCAACAAACAACAAGTGTTGGAGAGGTTGTGGAGGAAAGGGGTCCCTAGTGCACTGTTGGTGGGACTGCAGACTGCTACAACCACTATGGAAAGCAGTATGGAACTTCCTCAGAAAACTAAAAATGCATCTGCCTTTTGACCCAGCAATTCCACTGCTGGGACTCTATCCTAAGAATACTAAAACACCAATCCGAAAGAACCTATATATCCCAATGTTCATAGCTGCACAATTTACAATAGCTAGATGCTGGAAGCAACCAAGATGCCCATCAGTAAATGAATGGATCAAAAAACTATGGTACATTTACACAATGGAATTCTATGCAGCAGAAAGAAAGAAGGAGCTCCTCCCCTTTGCAACAGCTTGGATGGAGCTGGAAAACATTATGCTAAGCAAAACAAGTGAGGCAGTGAAAGACAAATACCATATCATCTCACCTTTAACAGGAACCTAAACAACAAAACAAAGAAGCAAGCAAAATATAACCAAAGACACTGAAATAGAGGACAGGCTGACAGTGACCACAGGGGGAGAGTAGAGGGAATTTCAGGGGACATTGGGAAGGGTTCATGGGAACAAACTTAAAGGACACATGGACAAAAACTAGGGGGAGGGTGGTAATGGGAGGGAAGTGGGGAGGGTTGGGAGGGTGGGTTGGATTGGGAGTAAAAGGGAGAAAACTGTACTTGAACAATGATTAAAATAAAATTTAAAAAAATTCATGACGTCAAAGTAGATAAAAAATATAACTAAAATATTGGTTGCCTTTTTAACCATGTTGACTTTTGTATTTCACAAATGAGAAGAAATGTTAGTACCTTAGTACAAATCAAGGCAGTGGCAAAAACTGTTAAGCTGTCACTGTGCCATTCACTGCCACACATAGTTAAAAAGGTAAGTCAATCTCACTTGAAAATGGACCTGGTGAATGTGTTCGTATTATCAAGTGTCTGAAATGTGGTCCTGAATAGTTCTGGTAACATTCTGTATGGAGAAATGGGTAGTACTGCCTGCTGGAGGAGACGCGATGCCCTGTGCAAAAGCACTTGTGCGATTACTTCATCTGCAATCAATGCAATTGTTACCAAAAGAGCAACCAGCAAACTGCAGTTTCTCAGACTTTGGTTTTGGCCAAAAGTTTTCTTAAAAAATGAACTGATTCTGTTGTTTCAAAAAAAAGAAAAGATGGTATTTGTTGTCAGTGATAAAATTAAAACTTTCCATTGAAAATTAGAATTCTTGAAAAATTGTAATAGCCACTGTGAGCCTGACCTCTTCACAGTTTTAAAGAATGTATGCTGACATTTGTAATGAA